GGGAAACTGAAAAGGCTACAAATTGAACAAAGGCACAAACAAAAAATAAATTAACAAAAAGGAAGTTAACAGGCATGACTAACATTGGATTTACCTCAGGGGGATAGTGAACTCCTTGCTCTAGAAAACTCTGAACTCCATTAAGTCTACTCCTTACCATACAAGCATCTATTGAAAACTAAACTAACAGTGCATGGTAAGGGAATTTATTACATGACTCGGGCAGTCAGAGGGCCAATAACTAAAATCAACCAATCAAAATGCTCTATTGCCGGTCAATATTCTCTCAGTATTGGACCAGGCACTGTCCCGAATGGTCCTGAATGATACCGCACTTGTGTCCCTTTGAACTTCAGTTGTATAATAAATCTCTTATTAACCAAGCTTGCTCGGGACTGTACTGGAAGAATATCGGCCCTTGGTCTTTTTTGTACGGACCGAGCGCAGTGAGGTCCGTACTGTCAAGACCTCAGGCCAATATTCTCTCAGTACGGCCCTCGTGCTTGGTTAATAAGATATAATTAGCTAATGCATTTACATAGAGGAAATAAAAATGAACAATGGTCTTCTACTGCTAGCCACAAATGGAAATTCTATAATCATTGAATCAAAGGAACAAAACACGTGATTGAGTATCAACTAAATGTCTGTCAACATTAAGCCAGGCACAGCATGTGAGCTTGGGGCTAATTAATTAATTCCCCTAGGAATACGAACAATTAGTATAATTTCAGAGCTGAGCAAAGAGTTTTCAGAAATCTGATTGGTTGAGCGGTTCCTTATATGATGCTATATAAACCACTCCACACAGTTTATATAAAATATTAAAATAAAATGTTAGTAAATGTTACTGAAATGTTATGATTTTAGAAATTTCTCTGTTGTTCTGCTCTGAAATAATACTAGGACAATTATTCGCCTCAGGTTCAGGGAATATTGTCAAATAATCCCCTTGATTTTGTCTTGGGGATTATTCGACGATATTCACCTGGCCTTTGGCAATAGTTGTTAATTATAGGCAGGAAGTAGAAATGAATCACTCTTTGGGGTCAAAGAGCTTATTATATGACAAGAGAGAGGATTCTACATTTGACTTGTGTGTTATGCTAGTCAATTAAGTAAAAGTATTAATGTGGGATGTAAAATGTAAAACTTTTTTAAATCTTAAGATGTTTTCTTTTAGCCTGAGCTGGCCATGGTACTTTATCCAATGTTTGTCCACATGTATCTTGAACTGGTATACAAAGGCAGTGAAAAGGAGGGTATGCTTTTTTTATAACTAGGTATTCTGATGGCCCACACCTGCTATTTCTCATCTTAAGCTGTAAATACTGCCTCAGTGGGCCATGTTCAGGTCTCGAAACTAACTTTTCAACGTACTAGCCAAGTGGCTGGTGACATCTTAGATGCTGCAACAATGTCAGTTCATTTACTAGCCAACTTGGTTAGTGGAAACTGAAAACCACTTGCCAAAACTGAATTTCTACTAGTCTGTGGCTAGTGGGCTACTGTTAGTGTTGAGCCCTAATGTCTCAAGGCTTACTAGCAAATTGCACATGAAAAATCAGGATACAAAAAAATAAACAGTTTTCTCTTATGGGTCCACTTTTGTTTAAATTCTAAACCTGTACTACCATAGAAAGGACTATTTCCTTTTTTCTATTTAACCATGCAAAAGGACCTTTTGTTAACCTCCTAACTCCTGGAAGTGATTAACATGTAACTTCTCCCTTTAATGTACATACATCATTCAAGACTTACAAGGAAATGTGTAGTAGCTGGAGGGGAGAGAATTAAGAATTAGATCTTAGGAGTTCACTCATTAACTTCCAAAAGTGATTAACATGAATCTTCTCTCTTCGATATGATGTATTCTTATTTTATCCAGCAATGAGAATACTCAAAATTATCGGGTAGAAATTGTTATCTTGATCCAATACCAAATTCTTGTTACCAATTCGCAAGAAAATGTGTAGCGGCTAGAGGAGAGAGTTAATCACATCTCAGGAATGAAAGGATTAAAGGGTTCGTATTCAGACAAGACTTTACTTTGTGTTACTGATCCAGTTTTCCTGGTTCATATCTAAAACCATATTGAGAGAGGTTTTTTCTCTGAACTCCTTCTCTGGAAGTGGCTGCTATTTCATTTTATGTTGCTTGATCTTGTTTTGCAGCGCAATCTTTTTTTGCCTGTTTTCGGGGGAGTCAGGAAGATTATCATGAAGAAGACCTTAGCAAGTTGGCAGCCATAACACGGCGTGAACATATGAAAAGTAATGAGCTCATGGGGACCTTAAGGTATTGAAATAGACTGCGTCCCATCTACAGTTCCATTCTCAATGTTTTTGAAAACTTCTAGGATCAAGGCTTGAGTCGAAGTTTGTAGACATCTGAGTCAAGTTTGCTTTGAGAGTAAAATTGTTTCCTCAAAACTGGGGATTAAGATTCTCAAAAAGTTCTCAAAGTGTCTCAATCAGGCTAGATTCTAGAGCCCTGATTCTCTGTACTTGATTATCAAAATGGTCTTGAGGACTGAGTTTTGAGTTGAGACTGTCAAAAGAATTAATTTTACTTGAAATTGTAAACATACATGTTATGTGTGCTTGTGTAGCAGTTGCCTAACCACTTTTTTTAATGGTTGTTGCCACAACTTTTTTTTTTTTAATGGTTGTTACCCTGCACTGTTGTCAGCTTGTTCTTTGAAAACTTGTTATGTATTATCCTATATTTGGTGTTGGTTATTATGCTGTTTAACTTATAGAAATTACACTCTATGAGGGTGGTATAAAAACTACAAGCCTCGCACAATTATAAAAATTAGTAAACTGTAGAGCAAAGGTAAGTCAGTCATATAGCCTGTGTACAGCCACCCCTACACATAAAAAAAAGTTATTATTATTTTTTGTTTTTGAGAGCAAAGGGGGTAGGGTGGGTGCGGGGTTGTACCACAGGCCATCACCTACGATATATTCTTCACAAAACTCCTCACAAATCAGTTATATGAATTGTTTGTGTACACAGCAGCCATGCTAACTTTCCACAAAACCTTCACTGACAGTTTATTCTTTCAGTGAAATAACAATTACTAAGTGTCCACCTGTACAAACAGGATTGAGATTTCATCTTGATTCATTGAATGTATATTGCTTTCAACAGGAGCAACAAATTTGTAATCAGAATGTCAAAGGACACATACCAAGTGCTCAAGAAGCATTTGCAGGTACAATGAATATGTATTTGAGGGAATGTGCAGTGGCCTCATGGTTAGTGCACTCTACTGCAGATTGAGTAATTTGAATATATAAACAAAGTTGAAATGGTAAATTGGCTACCATTACGATTATAAAAGCTGATGTTTCGAGCGTTAGCCCTTCGTCAGAGTGAATAGAGGAATTGTGGGTTGTGTGTACTGTGGTACCACAAGTATCAACAAACACTTTTCATTCCACTAATTTATTCGTGTTTTTCTCGTTGCCATGTTCCCACCAATCATATAGCTCCTTTTCTGCCTTTAAAAGCACACACAACCCACAATTCCTTTATTCACACCGACGAAGGGCTAACGCTTGAAACGTCAGCTTTTATAATCGTAACGGTGGCCAATTTACCATAATGATTTCAACTTTGTCGATTTTATTAAAATTATTTTGTCACCCCCACTGATGCAGCCCCAAACAGTTTCTTTAGAAACTATCAGCCTTTATTCATTTGCAGATTGAGTGGTCTGGCTTAGTGCCCTGGCTACTCTGAAGAACACTAGTAAGGGTAGTGGTCAGTACACTGAATCCCTAAATCAAGCAGTTTAGTTTTAAGCCATGGCTGTTGCATTAGAGATACTGCCGAGACCCTGGAAAGACCCATTCTTCTAAGTTTCTATCTATACCTTTCTTCACTCAGGAGTACTATTGGGTAACAGCAAACTATTAACCCTTTCACACCCAAGACTGAAGTATCAGTTCTTCACCTTGTTTCCCATGCATTAGTGACAGCTTTAGATCTGAGAATTTGGTGCAAAATCAAAGAAAATTCCCCTAGTTTATATTTTTATTTCCTCTATTTTCCTTTCTACTTGAAAATAGTTATATTAAATTATACAGTATTATAAGAAAAAATGTAATTTTCTTTTATGGCTTTTTATTTCTTTTACAGGATCAACAGCAAGAATTGCTTCTTACATTGATTCAGCAACACCTTCACTTTGATGGTAAGATTTTAAGGAGTCCCTTAGGCTTTGAGGATTGGATTGTATTTTGACTTCTGCACAGAGTTCTCTGTTTCTCTACACCATTCTGAGGAAAAGCTTTTGAGCTTTTCTCCATTCTCCTGCATCTTCATTTCTTGATGAAAATGCTGCAATGTTTATAATTAATTTTATGTTATTGATGTATTATTCAGTGACCCCCTCTCTTAGAGGAGATTAACTTTTATTTTTGCTTTTTAAATTTGATACATTGTTGACAGTCAGTAAGCTGTAGTTAGGCTTTATTACCAGTTGCTGCTTGTGAAATAAGCTTGAGCTCTCCCCCAAAGGTTTTACCCAGGAAAATTGATCACTGGAATCAAGAAAGTGTTGAAAATCAAGCTTAGCTGTTGGGAAGACACAACATTTTCAGCTCAAGGGTTTTATATCTTGACATCACAAAACTTTTCTAGCTAATTTACCAGGAAAAGTACAGCTGCTAGTTGGGAGAATTAGTAATCCTATCTTGGAAGGTTAAGTTCTAACATACTGCAACATTTGATCTTTTTTTCTGTTCTCTTAAGTTTTTGAAGGAAGACCAAGGAATAAGCAAGCAATAGAAGCAACGGCAGGAGCAGTGACAGGGGAGGCGACATTTGAGGGTAAGAGATACCAACAAGAATTTAAAAGTTTATGAGTACAGGGGAACTCCCTTGAAAGATTATTACTTTCATGAATAAAGGCTGATAGTTTCAAAGGAAACTGTTTGGGGCTGCATCGGTGGGGGTAACAAAATAATTTGAATAATTATATCAGCAAAGTTGAAATGGTAAATTGGCCACTGTTACGATAATAAAAGCTGACATTTTGAGCCTTAGCCCTTCATCGGGGTGAATAGGGGAATTGTGGGTTGTGTGTGCTTTTATAGGCAGAAAAAGGAGCTACGTGATTGGTGGGAAATCTATTACTTTTATGGCAGAGCTCCAAATTATGGAAAATCCAGTGTACACTTCAGGATTTGTTCTCTCTAGATAACCAGTGACTGAGAAGTTTTTTTCTGTGTTCAGAAAGTTGCTCAAAAGCTTTTCTTCAGTTCAACCAATGTACAGACACCCTATAACCCTTCATCCCTTTGTCATATGATACAGAGTTTCATATTCTAACAGGATCAAGTTATTTACATGAACTTCAAAATTTGAATTAGACCTTGACTTATACTACATATTACCTAATCCTGATAAATTTGATGAAGCTGACCCTGATCATATGCTAATTAGTCCTGAATCTCACTACTATGATATATTCCTAGTTTAAATACAGTTCTAAGAAAATCGGGCAAAAATACTATTTCATTCCTTCACTGTAATATCAGAAGCTTACCTAAAAATTTAAATCTACTTGAGGATCTCCTATGTTCCTTAAATACACAACCATATAATATCATGGGAATCACAGAAACTAAGCTGAATAGGAATAATATAATTAGTTAACATTGAACTACCCTGCTATAGGATCTTCCATAATGATTTTCCAACCTCTGCAGGAGGGGCAGCCCTTTATATTAGCAAATCTCTAAAATCAGTCCCGAGGCCTGATATTACTTTGGAAAGCCCCCTAGTAGAATCTGTCTGGGTTGAAATAGCTCAGTCTTCTAACGAAAAGTCCATCTTAGTTGGTTGTATCTATAAACACCCAGGAGCAAACATCGAAGAATTTAAAGATAAATTTAATGAGACAACTAAACAATTCAATGCTAATAAGTACCAGTTATATTTCCTTGGTAATATGAATATAGATTTCTTTAAATGTAATACTCATCCCCCTACAGAAGCTTATCTTGATAATGTTGTACTCTAATAATCTATTACCTGTAGTAACAAAACTAACATGACTAACTTACCACATTGCTACACTAATTGATCATATTTACACCAATAGCTCAAGAAATGTTTTCTCAGGGATTTTAACTGCTGATATCTCGGACCACCTTCCACTCATTTGTATTGTAGATATACCAATTAAAAAAAGGCAAAACCTAGATAGATGCTATAGAGACTATTCCAATTTCAATCAGGAATCTTATCTTCAGGATGTCAATGCAATCAACTGGAATGCAATCAAAAGTGAATGTGTAGACTTGCATGAGATAACAACTGATCTTCTCAAATCAATCAGTAATAGACATGCATCAATATGTCCAGAAGGAAACAAAAATTATCTACTAAGCCCTGGATAACAAATGGTGTTTTAAAATCAATCAAAACTAAACACACTATGTACAAAACACATTTTCTTTCTAATAATCTGGATAAAGGGGCGAAATATAAAAAGTTTGCTAATAAACTGAACTGGCTTAAAAGCGTGAGTAAGAAGACCTATTTCTCTCAGCACTTTGACCAATGCAAGAATAATCTGAGGGCATCTTGGAAGTTAATTGGTACAATAATAAACCACAATCATAAGGGGCAGAACCCTATTTCAAAAATCGTGCATAACAATAGAGTCTTCACAGATAAAACTGATATTGCAGATAAATTTAACAAAGATTTTGCTAATGTAGGTCCAAATCTAGCCCACAAGATTGGACACTGTGAAAGAAATCCTACCCAGTACATTAAATCAACCCTGGTAGACAATTTTGTTCTATCTTGTGTTACTGAAACCCAAGTCTGCTCATTATTTAAATGCTTAAATGACCACAAGTCATCCCTAGATATTCCTAACAAATTAATCAAAATAGCTGCTCAACCATTGTCAATATACCTCTAACATTTACAACCAGTCTATAGAAACTGGT